TTAGACTTAGGATAGAATAGGATGTTTTAAACTTAAACGGTTATTTATTTTATTTCAGGTCTTTTGTTGTGTCGTTTTAAAGATGTTTTCGAAACACGTAAGTCCATGACTGTGTTTTAAGATAAAGGTTATGTTTTATGGATTTAAATGAACTCTTCTGCACTCAAAGGTTTATGGTATGTATATAGTAGCGACCTTAAATTAAGTAGAAAATTCAGGGTTTCGATTTTAAGCACTCTTTATCTTTTTTATGCTCCCGTTTCTTCGAAATTCTATTCTAAATCATCAAGCCTAATCATTTCCCATAAAAGATTTTAAAAACGTTGAACGTCACTCGGTTTTTTTAGCATGTACTTCAAACGTTCGAGGTTAGGGTTTTCGAATTAGGGTTACGATTTAAAGCACTCTTTATCTGTTTTATGCACTCCGTTTCTTCGAAATACTATTCTAAATCATCAAGCCTAAACATTCCCCACAAAAGTTTTGAAAAACCTCGGCCGTGACTCGGTGTTTTTAGCACGTACTTCAAACGTCTGAGTTTAGGGTTTCCGAAACAGGCTTTCGATTTGAAGAACTCTTTATCTGTTTTATGCTCTCTGTTTCTTCGAAATTCTATTCTAAATAATCAAGCCTAATCATTCCCCACAAAAGTTTCTAAAAACGTAGAACGTCACTCGAATTTTTTCACACGTACTTCAAACGTCTGAGTTTAGGGTTTTCAAAATAGGGTTTCAATTTCAAACACTCTTTATATGTTTTATTGTCTCCGTTTCTTCGAAATTCTATTCTAAATCTTCAAGCCTCATCATTTCGTTGAAAAGTTTTGTAAAACGTCGACCGTCACTCGATTTTTTTAGCACGTACTTCCAACGTACAAGTTTAGGGTTTCCGAATTAGGGTTTCGGTTTAAAGAACTCTTTATCAATTTTATGCACTCCGTTTATTCAAAATTCTATTCTAAATCATCAAGCCTAATCATTACCCACAAAAGTTTCGAAAGGCCTCGAACGAAAGTGGGTTTTTTTAGCACGTACTTCAAACGAACGAGTTTAAGGTTTCCTAATTAGGGTTACGATTTGAAGCACTCTTTATCTGTTTTATGCACTCCGTTTCTTCGAAATACTATTCTAAATCATCAAGCCTAAACATTCCCCACAAAAGTTTTGAAAAACCTCGGCCGTGACTCGGTGTTTTTAGCACGTACTTCAAACGTCTGAGTTTAGGGTTTCCGAAACAGGCTTTCGATTTGAAGAACTCTTTATCTGTTTTATGCTCTCTGTTTCTTCGAAATTCTATTCTAAATAATCAAGCCTAATCATTCCCCACAAAAGTTTCTAAAAACGTAGAACGTCACTCGAATTTTTTCACACGTACTTCAAACGTCTGAGTTTAGGGTTTTCAAAATAGGGTTTCAATTTCAAACACTCTTTATATGTTTTATTGTCTCCGTTTCTTCGAAATTCTATTCTAAATCTTCAAGCCTCATCATTTCGTTGAAAAGTTTTGTAAAACGTCGACCGTCACTCGATTTTTTTAGCACGTACTTCCAACGTACAAGTTTAGGGTTTCCGAATTAGGGTTTCGGTTTAAAGAACTCTTTATCAATTTTATGCACTCCGTTTATTCAAAATTCTATTCTAAATCATCAAGCCTAATCATTACCCACAAAAGTTTCGAAAGGCCTCGAACGAAAGTGGGTTTTTTTAGCACGTACTTCAAACGAACGAGTTTAAGGTTTCCTAATTAGGGTTACGATTTGAAGCACTCTTTATCTGTTTTATGCACTCCGTTTCTTCGAAATACTATTCTAAATCATCAAGCCTAAAAAGCACTCTTTATCTGTTTTATGCACTCCGTTTCTTCGAAATACTATTCTAAATCATCAAGCCTAAACATTCCCCTTTATCTGTTTTATGCACTCCGTTTCTTCGAAATACTATTCTAAATCATCAAGCCTAAACATTCCCCACAAAAGTTTTGAAAAACCTCGGCCGTGACTCGGTGTTTTTAGCACGTACTTCAAACGTCCCAATTTAGGGTTTTCGAAACAGGGTTTCAATTTGAAGCACTCTTTATCTGTTTTATGCACTTTGTTTCTTCGAAATAGTATTCTAAATAATCAACCCTAACCATTCCCCACAAACGTTTCGAAAAACGTCAACTGTGACTCGGTTTTTTAGCACATACTTCAAACGTCCCAGTTTAGGGTTTCCGAAATAGGGTTTCGATTTTAAAAACTCTTTCTCTATTTTATGCTCTTTGTTTCTTCAAAATACTATTCTAAATCATCTAGCCTAATCATTACCCAAAAAATTTTCTAAAAACGTCGAACGTCACTTGGTTTTTTTTAGCACGTATTTCTGGCGTCCGAGTTTAGAGTTTTCGAATTAGGGTTTCGATTTGAAGCACTCTTTATTTGTTTTATGCTCTCTGTTTCTTCGAAATACTATTCTAAATCATCAAGCCTAAACATTCCCCACAAAAGTTTTGAAAAACATCGGCCGTGACTCGGTGTTTTTAGCATGTACTTCAAACGACCGAGTTTAAGGTTTCCAAAACAGGGTTTCAATTTGAAGAACTCATTATCTGTTTTATGCACTTTGTTTCTTCGAAATAGTATAATAAATCATCAAGCCTAATCATTCCCCACGAAAGTTTCAAAAAAACGTCAAACGCACCCGGTTTTTTTAGCACGTACTTCAAATGTCCGAGTTTAGAGTTTTCGAATTAGGGTTTCGATTAGAAGCACTCTTTATCTATTTTATGCTCTCCATTTCTTTGAAATTCTATTCCAAATCATCAAGCCTAATCATTCCACAAAAAAGTTTTCAACAACGTCGGCCATGACTTGGTTTTTTTACTACGTACTTCAAACGTCCGAGTTTAGGGTTTCTGAAATATGGTTTTGATTTGAAGCACTCTTTATCTGTTTTATGCACTCCATTTCATCGAAATACTATTCTAAATCATCAAGCCTAATCATTACCCAAAAAAGTTTCTAAAAACGTCGAACGTCACTTGGTTCTTTTTAGCACGTACTTCAAACGTCCGAGTTTAGAGTTTTCGAATTAGGGTTTCGATTTGAAGCACTCTTTATCTGTTTTATGCTCTCTGTTTCTTCGAAATACTATTCTAAATCATCAAGCCTAATAATTCCCCAAAAAAGTTTTAAAAATGTCGGCCATGACTTGGTTTTTTTAGCTTGTACTTCAAACGTCCAAGTTTAGGGTTTCCGTAATAGAGTTTCGATTTGAAGCACTCTTTATCTGTTTTATGCTCTCCATTTCTTCGAAATTCTATAATAAATCATCAAGCCTAATCATTCCCCACAAAAGTTTTGAAAAACGTCAAACGTCACTCGATTTTTTTAGCACGTACTTCAAACGTCCGAGTTTAGAGTTTTCGAATTAGGGTTTCGATTTGAAGCACTCTTTATCTGTTTTATGCTCTCCGTTTCTTCGAAATTCTATTCTAAATCATCAAGCCTAATCATTCCCCAAAAAAGTTTTCAACAACGTCGGCCGTGACTTAGTTTTTTTTACCACGTACTTCAAACGTCCGAGTTTAGGGTTTCCGAAATATGGTTTCGATTTGAAGCATTCTTTATCAGTTTTATGCACTCCGTTTCATTGAAATACTATTCTAAATCATCAAGCCTAATCATTCCCCACAAATGTTTCTAAAAACGTCGACCGTGACCCAATTTTTTTAGCACGTACTTCAGACGTCCCAGCTTAGGGTATCGAAATAGGGTTTTATTGAAAGCAGTCTTTATCTTTTCTATGCACTCCGTTTCTTCGAAATACAACTCTTAATCATCAAGCCTAATCATTCCCAACAAAAATTTTGAAAAATGTTAACCGTGACTCGATTTTTTTAGCACGTACTTCAAATGTCCGAGTTTAGGGTTTCCGAAATAGGGTTTCGATTTGAAACACTCTTAGGATCCGTCCTATGAGAGGCCGTTTATCATGTGAGTAACTTGTTTAGGTGGCATGTACCGAGGGGTAGCACCCCCTCACCATAGGTTACTTCATGGCATATGTGACGGGTTCACCAGTTAACACTCCCATGGATGCAAGCAGACCAACACTCACCATGTTCTTCCCCACCTTGTACCATTGCGAAGGCTAAGTTTTCTGCCCAAGGTCTTTGTATCAAGAGTGTGGAAACTCTAGGGACAAAAGTAAACAATTGGTTCCCTGCTAGGTTAAGGATGTGATGAGAGACTACAAGTAGGTTGCTTAATCATGACGAGACGATACTCTAGAGTTTAGAAGTAATAGAGGAATTATGGACCTAGGGAATCATGTATCTCGTTCTCCCTCCCCTCGTTAGATGAATTTGGCATATATTAATACACATTTTGATTTCTCACTTATTTTATACACATTGATTGGCAAAAATTTTCCAAGAGATTTTGGGTGTGACATGATGAAATCAAAACCCTTATAATGGTTCTCCCAACAGGCATTGAGTAATTCTTGCCAAAGAAGTCTTGCGCAATTTCTATTTGAAACTATAGTTCTAGAATTTTTTGAACTTATCTTTTCTACCTCACCTTAAAATCTCTAAGGCCCTCGTAAAAAGTTTGAAAGTTCAACCTTAAAAAATAAATCGGGAATGTAATACCTTGTTGGACTTGGTGCTATACCATATGTAATCTATGAATTGCTTTCTGTATTTTATAATTTCTACCTAAAAGTATTCATATTTTATTGTCCATTTTATGAATGTGTTTTAAAACTCAATGAAATATTTATTATTCTTGGGCTAATAACTATTATATATTCAAGGAATTTTGTTATAGAAAATAATAAATCTCTAAAATTATCCCAAAATTAACCTTAAATTGTGTTGCATAACCGAAATTAGTTAAATGATTAAGTTTTTTACAACCATAACATGCATTTACATAGTTTCTTGCATGTACTATAAGTATGTATATTTATTCACATGTCGAACACAAATTGGTAGTTAAGCTAAAGGTTGATTAGGAAATGATAAAGAATATTGTCGTTTTCTTTCTTTTCACGGTGGCTTTAGTTGGGGCTCAGGTTCCAAGGGTCGCGTTACCACCACCAGGACCTTCTAGATATTACATTCATGTGGTTAACGGGCTAAGCAAACTTGGGTTGCTTGTGCATTGTCAGTATAAAGACGATGACTTGGGGTATCATCGTTTGCTTAATCATGGAGATGATTACCATGGAACTTCAAGGTTAACTTTTGGGGAACAACCCTCTATTGGTGCAAATTGGAGACGCCACATGCATATTGTCTCTTTTGAAAGCTTTTGGCCTGAAACGCAGCACTTATGGCTCCGTGATAGGTGCAAATATGGAACTGTAGGAACTTGTATTTGGACGGCTAAAGATGACAGAATTTACTTGAAAAACTTTCTTGCTAATGTTGATGAATTGATTCACAAGTGGATCTATAAAAGATAGAGAAACTTTATTATCTCCTTTTGGTGGAATTATCCTTGAGGAAAAAATAAAAAATAATGGGATAACACAAAAAAGGTTGTTGTTGTTTTCTTTTTTTTTCATTTACTTTTTTTTGTATGAAATGTATTTGATAATGAAGTGTATTGTTGTTCTTCAAAATTTTAAATTATGAAGAAAAAAAAAATTAAATTTGTATATGAATACAAGTTTTCAAAATTGTAATATGGTTTTTATATTAAAACTAAAAAAAAATAATGAGTTTCAAAATTTGGTTAATTCAAACTTGCATGCTTGCCACATAATCCCACAAATTTGAGTGAAATTTTGATTCTCAAAATTTGGTAATCTCAAATTTGCACGAACATGCAATTATGACTCTGTAAATAGAGTGATCAAGGTACATGGAAAGAAAGCTTGAAAAATTTCGAGAAATTCTCTCAAAACTCTCTCTTTTCATATATTAAATTTCTATCAAGTTTAGTCACTCACCGGATTCCACAATCCCGTTCTAAGGCCCGAGAATAGTAGGAAAGACACTAGTGGTGGTTCAAAATTGGTTCGTGAGGAAAAAGGAATTTGAACTACAAAAGGTTAGTACTTAAAGACCTTGAGTTTTAATACTCATGAACATGCTAGTTATTTACTATAATTGATGTTCTAAGAGTGCCTAAGATCCAAATTACTTCCGCATGTGTTATATTAACTCCACCATTTCGTTGGTTAGTGAACAGGTCAGGAAGGATTTTGAGCACGCAGATCGAGCTCAAGATCTTTGGTACTATTTAAGTTACAGAGGGTAGACTAGGTCGTGTATGGTTTCAATTTGAAGCATTCTTTATCTGTTTTATGCACTCTGTTTCTTCGACATTCTATTCTAAATCATCAAGCCCAATCATTCCCCACAAAAGATTCGAAAAAATGCAAGTCGTGACTCATTTTTTTAGCATGTACTTCAAACATCTTAGCTTAGGGTTTCCGAAAGAGGGTTTCGATTTGAAGCACTTTTTATCTGTTTTATGCACTTCGTTTCTTCGAAATACTATTCTAAATAATCTAGCCTAATCATTCCCCAAAAAATTTTTGAAAAACGTCGGCCGTGACTCGGTTTTTTTAGCACGTTTTTCAAATGTTCGAGTTTAGGGTTTCCAAAATAGCGTTTCGATTTGAAGCACTCTTTATCTGTTTTATGCTCTCCGTTTCTTCGAAATTTATTCTGAATCAGCAAGCCTAATCATTCCCCACAAAAGTTTCTAAAAACGTCGAACGTCACTCAGTTTTTTTAGAACGTACTTAAAACGTCCGAGTTTAGGGTTTCGATATGAAGCACTCTTTATCTATTTTATGCTCCCCGTTTCTTCGAAATTCTATTTTAAATCATAGAGCCTAATCATTCCCCACAAAAATTTTGAAAAAGGTTGAACGTCACTTGGTATTTTTTCCACGTACTTCAAACGTCCAAGTTTAGGTATTCCGAATTAGGATATCGATTTAAAGAACTCTTTATCTGTTTTATGCACTTCGTTTCTTTGAAATACTATTCTAAATCATCAACCCTAATCATTCCCCACAAAATTTACGAAAAACGTTGGCCGTGACTTGGTTTTTTAGCACGTACTTCACACGTCCCAGTTTAGGGTTACCGAAATAGGGTTTCGATTTGAACCACTCTTTATCTGTTTTATGCACTCTGTTTCTTCGAAATACTATTCTAAATAATCAAGCCTAATCATTGCCCACAAAAGTTTAGAAAAATGTTGACCGTGACTTGGTTTTTTTAGCACGTACTTTAAACATCTTAGTTTAGGGTTTCTGAAATAGGGTTTCGATTTGAAGTACTCTTTATTAGTTTTATGCTCTCCGTTTATTTGAAATTCTATTCTAAATCAACAAGCCTAGTCACTCCCCACAAAAGTTTCTAAAAACGTCGAACGTCACTCGGTTTTTTTAGCACGTACTTAAAACGTCCTAGTTTAGGGTTTGCGAATTAGGGTTTCGATATGTAGCACACTTTATCTATTTTATGCAATCCATTTCTTCGAAATTCCAGTCTAAATCATCAAGCCTAATCATTCCCCACAAAAGTTTCTAAAAACTTCGAACGTCACTCGGTTTTTTTATCGGTTTTATGCACTCCGTTTCTTTGAAATACTATTCTAGTTCATTAACCCAAATCATTCCCTACAAAAGTTTCAAAAAACGTCAGCTATGACTCGGTTTTTTAGCACGTACTTCAAACGTCCTAGTTTAGGGTCCGAATAGGGTTTTGATTTGAAGCACTCTTTATCTGTTTCATGCACTCCGTTTCTTCGAAATAGTATTCTAAAAAATCAAGCCTAATCATTCCCAACAAAAGTTTAGAAAAACGTCGACCGTGAACAAGTTTTTTTAGCACGTACTTCAAACGTCCGAGTTTAGGGTTTAAGAATAGGGTTTCGATTTGAAGCACTCTTTATCTGTTTTATGCACTCCGTTTCATCGAAATTCTAGTCTAAATCATCAAGCCCAATCATTCCCCACAAAAGTTTCTAAAAACTTCGAACATCACTCGGTTTTATTTAGCACGTACTTCAAACGTCACAGTGTAGGGTTTCCGAATTAGGGTTTCGATATGAAGCACTCTTTACCAGTTTTATGTTTCCCCTTTCTTCGAAATTCTGTTCTAAATCATTAACCTTAATCATTCCACCATAAAAGTTTTGGAAAACGTCGAACGTCACTTGGTATTTTTTGCACGTACTTGAAACGTCCCAGTTTAGGTATTCCAAATTAGGATATCAATTTAAAGAACTCTTTCTCTGTTTTAGACACTCTGTTTCTTCAAAACACTATTCTAAATCATCAACCCTAATGATTCACTACAAAATTTTCGAAAAAAGTTGGCTGTGACATGGTTTTTTAGCACGTACTTCACACGTTGCAGTTTAGGGTTATCGAAACAGGGTTTCGATTTGAAGCACTCTTTATCTATTTTATGCACTTCGTTTCTTCGAAATACTATTCTAAATAATCAGGCCTAATCATTGCCCACAAAAGTTTCGAAAAATGTTGGCCATGACTGGGTTTTTCTAGTAGTAATTCCAACGTCCTAGATTAGGGTTTTCGAAATAGGGTTTCGATTTGAAGCACTCTTTATATGTTTTATGCTTTCCGTCTCTAAGAAATTCTTATCTAAATCATCAAGCCTAATCATTCCCCACAAAAGTTTCTAAAAACTTCGAACGTCACTCGGTTTTTTTTAGCACGTACTTCAAACGTCCGAGTTTAGGGTTTTGATTTGAAGCACTCTTTATCTATTTTATGCACTCCGTTTCTTCGGAATTCTAGTCTAAATCATCAAGCCTAATCATTCCCACAAAAGTTTCTAAAAACTTCAAACGTCACTCAGTTATTTTTATCGGTTTTATGCACTCCGTTTCTTCGAAATACTATTTTAATTCATTAACCAAAATCATTCCCACAAAAGTTTCAAAAAACGTCAGCTGTGACTCGGTTTTTTTATCTGTTTCATGCACTCCGTTTCTTCGAAATACTATTCTAAATAATTGAGCCTAATCATTCCCAACAAAAGTTTTGAAAAACGTCGACCGTGACCCTGTTTTTTTATAACGTACTTCAAACGTTCGAGTTTAGGGTTTCTGAATAGGGTTTCAATTTGAAGCACTCTTTATCTGTTTTATGCACTCTGTTTCTTCAAAATTCTAGTCTAAATCATCAAGCCTAATCATTCCCTACAAAAGTTTCTAAAAACTTCGAATGTCACTCAGTTTTTTTAGCATGTACTTCAAACGTCAGAGTGTAGGGTTTCCGAATTAGGGTTTCAATATGGAGCACTCTTTACCTGTTTTATGCTCCCCGTTTCTTCGAAATTCTGTTCTAAATCATCAACCTTAATCATTCTCCCATAAAAGTTTTGAAAAACGTCGAACGTCACTTGGTATTTTTTGCACGTACTTTAAATGTCCCAATTTAGGTTTTCCGAATTAGGGTATAGATTTGAAGAACTCTTTATCGGTTTTATGCACACCGTTTCTTCGAAATACTATTCTAATTCATAAACCCTAATCATTCCCCACAAAAGTTTCAAAAAACGTTTGCTGTGGCTCGATTTTTTAGCACGTATTTCAAACGTCCCAGTTTAGGGTTTCGATATGAAGCACTCTTTACCAGTTTTATGTTTCCCGTTTCTTTGAAATTCTGTTCAAAATCATCAACCCTAATCATTACCCCATAAAAGTTTTGAAAAACGTCGAACGTCACTTGGTATTTTTTGCACGTACTTGAAACGTCCCAGTTTAGGTATTCCAAATTAGGATATCAATTTAAAGAACTCTTTATCTGTTTTATGCACTCTATTTCTTCAAAACACTATTCTAAATCATCAGCCCTAATCATTCCCCACAAAATTTTCAAAAAACGTTGGCCGTGACATGGTTTTTTAGCACGTCTTTCACACGTCGAATTTTAGGGTTATCGAAACAGGGTTTCGATTTGAAGCACTCTTTATCTATTTTATACACTTCGTTTCTTCGAAATACTATTCAAAATAATCAAACCTAATCATTGCCCACAAAAGTTTCGAAAAATGTCTGCCATGACTCGGTTTTTCTAGCAGTAGTTCCAACGTCCTAGATTAGGGTTTTCGAAATAGGGTTTCGATTTGAAGCACTCTTTATATGTTTTATGCTCTCCGTCTCTTCGAAATTCTAATCTAAATCATCAAGCCTAATCATTGCATACAAAAGTTTCTAAAAACTTCGAACGTCACTCGGGTTCTTTAGCACGTACTTCAAACGTCCGAGTTTAGGGTTTCCAAATTAGGGTTTCGATTTGAAGCACTCTTTATCTATTTTATGCACTTCGTTTCTTCGAAATTCTAGTCTAAATCATCAAGCCTAATCATTCCCACAAAAGTTTCTAAAAACTTCGAACGTCACTGGGTTTTTTTTATCGGGTTTATGCACTCCGTTTCTTTGAAATACTATTTTAATTCATTAACCAAA